ATTTAGGTACTTAATTATTTATGTCTGCAATAGGTATTGGCAGGTTTTTACCAAGTGGTCTAAACTAATTTGAAACAAGAAACATGGTTGAGTCTTATGTTGTTGACCTGGACAAGAAGACTTGTACTTGTAGAGTGTGGCAACTTAATGTGTATGGATGTGTGCATTCAGTTGCAACTATCTCATTTCTGAATAGAGATGTTGGTACTTATGTGGATCCAATGTTCTATGGTGTTGTGTAAAAGAACACTTACAAGTACCTAATTCATGGGATGAATGGTAGCAATATATGGCCACCTACTGACTTCATACCACCTCTTCCACCAATGAAGAGAAGAATGCCAGGTATACCAAAGGTTAACAGAAGAATACATGCATCAGAAAAACTCCCAAGACACATTGTATCTAAGGCGGGGAAAAAATATCATGAAGTGTGTGTAAACAAGTGGGGCATAACAAGGTAACATGTCCTCAAGATGAAAGACCTCAAGTTGGAAGGAGGCCAAAACTAAATGTGAAAAATGAAAACAGTTGTTAATGAAAATGGTGAAGGAGCACAAAGAGTTAGTGCAGGAAGCAGTGGATCAAAATAAGTGCCTAAAGGGTAAAATGGAGAAAAAAATAGTGGGTACGTGTAAAAGAAAGAAATCAGAGAGAATCATCAAAAATGAAACTTGATAAGAGGGTTAAGGGCAAAGATGGGAAAGGAGATACTGATGCAAACCCATTGGACCTTAATGAGTAGGATATGTTTTCCTTGAACTTGTTACGTTTGTACTTGGTTGTACTTGGTTGGACTTAGTTGATATGTTTGGAATTGGGTTGTACTAGGTTGATTTGTTTGGATTTGTACTAACTTTGTTTCTTTGAGAAACATATGTACTTGTTTATTTGTTTGTGAATGATTTGCACTACTTATGTTGTTTGAGAAACTTAGTTTGTTTAAGAAAGATATGTACTTGTTTTTCTTGATCGTGCATGGTGCATGTTACCTAAGGGAACTTGGGGTAAATAGTTCTAGGAATCAATGTTAATTTTGTTAGGTTATAAATGAACATGTGGTCCTTGTAAGATCAGTTAACACATGTGGTCCAATAATTTGCTTATGGTCCTTGTATAAGATATAGGGTAACATCAGTGGCCACTAGACCAATTAAGATATTAAGTTTAATGTAATACAATAACCAAATTAATACAACAACCATTCATGTTAAACATACAAACCAAAACAAAGTACATTGCCAGTTGTTCATAATTTAACCCAAATGACATTGATTACAACTTGTACATAATCAAACACAAAAAAATTCCCAACTACATATTAGGTACACCTTCAACTTAAAGACCTCAGATTGAAGCTTTTTGTTCAACCTAAACAACCCAATTATGATCACTCCTTCATTATTGCACTAGATTTCATCAACCCAAGCTATAAAACCTGAACGAGCATCCTAATTCCAATTATTTCCCTGAATTAGTACATGTTAAGAAAACTAGGGTTAACATCACAAAATGAACGAAAGGTAAATTACCTTCTTGGGACATGCATAAAAGGGCCTTCCTGGGTTATTGGCAGTACGTGTTGTTCGTATTATAGCCGCACTTCCACATCTACATTCCATGTTCTTTATTATGTAGCTTCACAGTGGAGAGTATTTAAAGAAGAAAACAATGTGCGAGAATGAAACAAGTAGGTATAGAAGAAACTTTTAACTGATTGCTAGTATGTGGAAAAGACTAAATTACCCCTACTATGCAAGGTACGTGGGGTCACTAACATCCCTACTTTTTCCTTCTTCTCATTTCTAATGCACTTTAAACGAAACTTTTTTCTAGATAAAAATTAGAAAATAGGATCATACGCAATGAACAAAAAAAATAGGATCATACGTAATTTAAGGATAAAAATTAGAAAATCATTGGAGTTCACTTACAAAATGTCTGTCATATAGACAAGTCTTTTACATATATCGCCAAAAAAAACAAATATAAAAATAAAAAACAGAAAGTCTACAGACTAATATGCTTCGTAACCACCATTGCTTTAAATCCACCCATCACCCAAGCTTAACAACGGAATAGAGCATAACCACCATCAATACGAGCATCCCCACCATCATGGTACCCATCGTAACACCAACAACTTTAAACTTCTAATCATGGTTATCCAACTTGTGCTGGAGACTGATGTGGTCGATCCTGCACACGATATAGTCATGTCCGAGCCGGTCCTTCAAGCGTTGCATTTCAAATTGGTTATCTACAATCTTATGACCACATTCACAGAAGATTGAATGGAACACATTGTAGTTGATGTCTTCACAAGAATTTAAAGAGTCGGGTGAAGGTGGTGGATCCGACATTATTGCTTTTTAAGGGTTCTTTTCGATGAGTGTTTGGCCGAAAATGGTAAACAAGTTTCAGGGTTGTTTTACATCAAACCCCACATGGGTTGTCCCCGTTTAATACGCAGACCTAATCCACCAACTCAATCGACTGTAAGGGTTGTTGGAATGTTGGTAGAAATTAAAGGCGGTAATTAATCTATGCATGTGTGTCATCAAGTCAACTCCGTATTGATTCAATGGGTTCACTCACATGCTTACTTTGCAAGGGACTAGGCAGGAAAACCTGCTAAAATAGGTAAAAAGACTTTTTCAATCGGTAAAACCGAAGTACATGCTCTTAAAATGCAAAAATACTCACGATTGACCATTTAAACTATTATACATAAGTTTGTTGGGCTACAATGAGAAGAACCCTTTTTTTAATAATAAATGTTGGTTCTTTTGTCAGTTTTTTTTTAATAGTTAAGGATAATCTAGGTGTCCGTTATTTGTTTGATCATAATTTTATTTTTTATCTAATATAATCAAAATGCTTTTATATAGTGTATTAATTATTATGTCAAACTTAATAAGAACGATAATAACATATGTTTATCAATATACTAATTGAATTAAAGTATTATGCGCAACCTACAATATCCTCCGGTAGCTAAATAGTTTATAGTTTACACCATTTAAATAAAAATATAGGTTACATACAATATAAATGTAGTTTACCAAACCAAAGATTATTTCAAAAAACAGTTTAATTTTTTTTTAAAATCCATCACTTAAATCAACATGTCAAAATAAGAACATGTCTTCTTATCCACCTACCAAACTTTAATTTTATTATTTATCAACTCCCCAACTATCTGTGGTTATCATCTATGGTAATAAATGTTTTGTTTTCTCATATCCAAGTAAATCTCCTCTAACATGACCATTCGTGCACATATCATCAACCCACCAAAAAGTTCATTCATGATCATTTATGTAGGATGTAGAATAACTTTGATGATCAGTTATCTTATATACATTTAAATCTTTGTTGTGCTTCAAGATCTAGAGTACATAATTTTATCATATGGCATGTAAATTTTGCTATGAAGATCGAAGACCCAACAAAAGGATATATATATAAAGATCGACACAACAAACATTCAGATAGACCTATTAAAAGGATTCGGATTTTGGTGTTGTGGTTTGACATCTATGAGTCATTACAAATGAATTTTTGGTGTTGGTTTTGTCCTTAATTATTGCTCATGAAACTGGAGCAACAATGAACTATATATCACTAAATGTGCATAACATATTGGACCAAACCAAGGAGATTATGTGCCGCTATAACACATTACTGAAATGTCCCTCACTAACACCTACACTCCGTATTTTATGATATTGTACTTGAGATAGCGATGGTGCTGGTTCTAAAACTTTTTTAAATTTTAATTTGATTAAATTGTGATTTACGTACCCTATTTCAAAAATTATGATATTGTACACATGTATAAGACTAGTCAAATTGGTGGTTTCACATTTGTGTATGTAGATAATCATATGTCTATGAGTAATTTTGTTAATGACGTAATGAAGATGTTTTTGTTTTGTTTTGTTTTTTTTTGTATGAAATAGTAGTTTATTTATTATGATTTTGTTTTCTTAATCAATATCATGACCATCTTTTGAGATATATTTTGTCCATTAGTTGTTGTGTAAATTGGAAGTATAAAATTGTAAGTTTTAAATCTTAAAAACACAACTTGGCCAAGAGAACTTTATATTGGAAAGTACGCTAGTACTGTTTTGTTTCTTATTTTCTTATTTGTAGAATCAAAATCTAAATTATCATTAGGTTAGAAATTATCATTAGGTTAGAGGGAGTGGTAATACTTCTAACACCTTGTCACATGAATTTTTTTAGTTTTTTTTTATTTCCATTTAGGCTTAGCATTTGTGTATTGTAAAAGTTGGGGAGTGGTAATATAAGTTTAATATGGTTTATTTTGGAAAAAGAAAAATAAAGCCAGCCACTCAAAAATGAGTTGAATTGAGCCAATCACAAGCAAGAACAAGCCTCTCTCTCCTCTCGTTAAGCTGCTAACGACCCATCCTTAGCGAGCCCCCTAGCGAGAGCTAGGGGGCGGTGTTCCAGAGCCCATAGCGAGCTAAGCAAGTGTATGTAGCAAGTTCACTCCGATTAGTCTTACATGTTTTCCAACAACACTTCTAAAATATCATCTACGATGCAAGTTCCTTGAATGAATGTTTTGTAAGAGAAGCATTTTAACAAACCTCATGGATGCATTATTCAACCTGTTCTAGTTCTTTTAGATTGGAGCATTTGTTTCTGCTCAAAATCAACTCTTTTAACTTGGAAAAAATGATTTTTTGATCTAAGGTATGCATCTTAGAAACCAAGCACGAATTTAGAGGGGGAAATAGATGTGCTTTGCATTCCATATAAAGCCAAACATCAAACAGATCCAGACAAAATATTCTGATTACTAACGCCACAAATTGAAATTATATATATCATGTAACAAGAGTGGATAAGCACCAAAAAGCAACATAAATAACATCACTTTATTCCAATTTAAACCAAGGAGAATATTAATATTATACAACATGAAGGCAATTTTAGAACATATACCTGATCTGATCAAAGACCTACGAATTCCAATCGAAACATCCATTAGAAGAAACAAGAAGCTCCTGCATGCAAAAGTCATCATCAAGTGAACCCAATCCATCGAAAAAACCATCATCCATGGTGTTATCGATCCAATCCATCCCCTTCGCAACCTTACAACCACCACCACCTTCTGCATCTTCCACCACCACTGCCGCCAGTGCTGGTGCAGGTGCCGGTGCCACTGCTACCCCTTTTGCTTTCTCATCCTCCTCCACCACCACCTCTTCCGGCATGGCAGGCATGTGTCCCTCAAAGAGAGCCATGTGCCCAAACAACTTATCCTTCCTTGAAAAACTTGTCCCACATGAACACTTCCATTTTATCTCCCCACAATGCTTCAAATGGCTTTTCAGATCAGCAAGCACAGAAAAGTTCTTCTTATGGCATCGATTGCAGGAATACATCTTCGGGCAATGACTTCTCTTGAAGTGATTCTTCACACAGATCACAGATTTCAAAGGTCTGAACTTTTTGTGCAGCTTGTTTCGGGTACAACCAGCAAATGGGCACGAAAACCGCGTTCTACCACCACGAGTCAACTCAGAAGAAGAAGACAGTCCTGATTTCTCAGGCTTCGAAAGCGCCTCTAGGGTTTTGAACTTGTTGCCATGAGCTCTCATGTGCATTCGAAGATTCGCATCTCGTTTGAAACCCTTACCGCATAATTCACAGAAATGTAAGTGTTCTGCTAGGAGCTCCACAGCATCAAGCTCCACAATATCCCAATCGTCGTCTCTAATTTCTTCACCGAAAACCTCGGTTTTCGGAACCCCTAAATCAACATCGTGCTTCAAATGATTCAGAATCAAATCGGATTCCGGTGAGTGTTTCGAATCAAAAGTCAAACTTGTCGTCCGTACGGAAAGATTGGGGGTTTCTGATTTTGATTTTGGGAGTCCGGTGCAGGAAAGGAGGGCGGCTCCATTGACGATTACTTGGTTGATGGCGGAGGTGATCTCCTTGGAGACAATCTCCATCTGCGATTCTCCGATGATGGTATTGGTGTTGAGTGAATCGGAGAGGAAGCGTTGAACGTGGTCCATTCGCGATTGTAGCTTGGAAAGGTTGATTAGCTGCTGATGACGTCCGTCGGTATCCATCGGAAACTTTGACGACGAGTCAACCGCGGTGGCGCCGGCGGGAAAATGATGGGATTCGTCGGGGTCTAACATATATCGGTGTTCGATAAAGACAAAGCGAGCGAAGTTTGAGGTGGTTATAGAGTTTTGCCCACATTTGGCTTACTGCGAGTGTGGGCCATGCTGTCCCGATTCAAGTAACTGAGTGTACACTGTATAGATAGACTCAGAAAGGCATAAATCGAATTGGTTTAACTTTAAGGGTTGTGTGAAAAAAAAAAAAAAAAAAAAAAAATATGTACTAGAACAACGGTAACAAAGTTTTGTTTTTTAAAACTTTTATACATGTAACCATTAATTTTGTTCGGATTTTACACGAAATGTCAAGGTTGACCCGCTGGTATATGTTTTTCGATACTTTATTTTTATACATACTCTTATTTATGATTTATTTTGCATACATTAGTCAATTATGTTTTGTTTTTATATACATTTAATAACTTATGTATGTTTATTATATATTTGATTTTTCCAAAAGTTCAAAAACTAAACTCATGTGTTTATTTAATAAAAAACTCCAGAGAGTTCATATGTTCAGATGAAAAAAACATGAGTTACTAAGAATTGGCTATTTTGAAAGGTAATTGATCTGAAGAGCTTAAAGAATGTGATAGGGTTTATGATTATGCATTCTAAAATGTTTTAAGAGTCTCGATTATGATCTCGATGATGCACAAACAATTCTTGGAGGATCATTTGAGTACCTACTATCCTCATAGGGGTAAAACATGCTATCCTCGTAGGGGTAAAACAGGAAGACAACCAACCAAATCATGTTAAGATATGATTAACTTTGTAATTAGAGATTATAACCGAATCATGTTAAGATGTGATTAATTTTGTAATTAGGGATTATTTTTATTGAAAATGTTGTCTAGGAGCTGTTAATAAGGCTTTTATTTTTGACAAATTCTAGAACAGAAAGTATGTTTGCATTTATTAATAGCTTAAATCAAATCTATTTCATGAGATGGAAGATTTTGGCACATGAAGTTGTCCGATTTTCGTGGTTTTGGATTGAAGATGTGTTGAAGGTTGGTGTCAATCTTTTTCGCTTTCTTCTGTTCAAAGTAAACTCGTTTGGATTAGAATATTTAGATGTTCATTTTGATGAGTTATGAAATCAATTAAACGAATCAAATGAAGTAAAATGCAAGAACACATTGTGTAAATAATTCTTGTAAGTTCAATGATTGATCAAAGAAGTAGGTTAGATTACAGAGTGAATTGAGAGAGTAAAAGTGAGTGTATGCGGAAAGCGTTAATGACACTCTAACATACAACACTATTTATAGGCAACATGCCAAGTGCCATCGACTGATCACAAAATACATGTGTAGACTTCGACATTTAGACAACCATGAAAATGTTACACATGATTAAAAGATATATGGAAATGATGACCAGTTCTATATAGACAACTATAGTAGACAAGTCTTGCAATATTTGGTCTTCGACAAAAGTTGCTTGAAAGATGCATTCGACATTTATGATTCTTCACAACAATGTAACTCTAATATTCTCCCTTTTTGTGAAGAATATTTGTGCTCTTCAAACCGTTGACATGATGTTGATGATTTCCAGAAGTGTTCTCCTTATCTCCAATATCACACAATGATTTTTCTCATGTCTTGAATATCTTTAGCATAATTCTTTTTGCAAGTTGTAATTCTCACCAAGAGATTATTCAACTGCACAATCGTTAATATTTCATTGAAGTTTGTGTACAACATGTGTGTAACGTCCCGATTTTTAACCAAAAGTTTTCATATTTATTTATCCAAATTATAAGTCTTACACATGTTATATTATATATTTAATTATAAAAGTGAGTCTTAGAGAAAGTCTTAAATATTATTTATTGTCTTCGATGTAATTACAGTCACGCGGGAGCCTTTCCTCAATCTAAAGAACAATCTGTAAAGCAATTATTCAACAACTATAAGCCGATGCTTACTGAATTCCCTTAAAATACCACATACCACAACATATATACAATGCATACACGTATTGGCCTTCAGCTTATAGCTGGTCCCCACCTTGGCCTTCAGCATACAGTTGGCCCGCCCTATATAGCCTTCAGCACGTGGGTGGTCTGCTTTGCATTGGCCTTTAACATAAAGCTAGTCCGCTCGATTGGCCTCAATACAAGGCTGGTCCTCCCTCAACTCCATATATACATATCAACATATAATAACAGTCCACATAACAGACAACTAACTATCCTAGTCTAATTGCCTAAGTACATACTACAGGGTAACTATATCCTAACATACAAAGGATACATACTGGAGTATACAATATAGTGAGAAGAATTCACCTTGATAGTGTCTCAGATGGTTAACATTTATCATGTTAATCCAATTGGCGAGTACGTGTCCAACATGTATCAGCCTATAATACTAGAGTTTATTAGTCCTTAGGGAAATCTGGAAACGTAGGCTAGACCCAACACTAATCCCAAGGAATACCAGTATTTTTATCAAACAAGAATCGACCAGGCGGGATAGTTAGGAGGCAGGATCATTTCGACATATAACTTTTATGAAATCCAACAACCAAGCCAACGTGACTATTCTAGAAACCTCCCCTATAAGTAGATTGATCAGTATTATTACTGGGATTACTGAAAAATATTTATTTACATATTCATATGTAACGACCCAAAAATCAAGGGTAAAAATTTTATTTTTAATATAGCTAAAACATTGATACCATTTATTCCAAATCATTATTAAGTAAAATATTTATCAGAGTTCATCCCAAAATCATTCATTACGGAAATCATAGGTGCGTGCACTACGATCAACCTGAGCCCTTCTTTTCCAAATCGATTATACCTGAAACCAAAACTGTAAACCGTAAGCACAAAGCTTAGTGAGTTCCCTAGAGCATACCCCACACATAATCCACATAACACATATCACATTAGCTATACAAGCTATCTCTGCCACATATCGCATCTCATATTAGCTATACAAGCTATATCTACCACATATCATTAACTATAAAAGCTATCTCTACCACATAACATTAGCTATAAAAGCTATCTCTACCACATATCATTAGCTATAAAAGCTATATCTACCACATATCCCTGCATAAGGAAGCCATGGGCTCCCCCACATGGTCTTACACCTAAGTGTCATGGGCTCCCCCATGGTCTTTCCCTGCCGGACAGCCATGGGCTCCCCCACATGGTCTTACATCCAAGTGTCATGGGCTCCCCCATGGTCTTCCATGCAAGTATCACAAAGACAACTAGCATAACACATACCACATAGTCAAAAGCATACTACATAATCACTAGCATACCACTTAGCATAAAGCTAACTATCATACCACATATCTCTACTACAGCTAGTGGGCCACATATCATAAAATAGGCCGGCTTTGGTGCCTTAGACCCATTGGTATGGTGAGAAGACTCACCTGGCACTGTTGAAGTCCCGTGGATAAAACTCCCATTGCTGGTTGACAGATTCCCGAACCGTCAACATCAAAATGACACCCAATTAATAATTGGGTTCCAATCCCAAGGTCCAACTCACACCAAAGGCCCAATAGACAAGTAATGGGCCAGAGCCCAACATATGGCCTAATTTTCCAAATTGGGCCCAAACCTCTACATGGACTTATTTTAAGGCCCAACCAATTATTCTAGCCCAAACAATTGGCATTCTGATGACCTAATAGCTAATAATCCTCAAGGCCTAATCATGGCCCACTTATGGCCTAATTTTCCAAATTGGGCCCAAGCCTTTCTAATGGGTATTATCCTGAAGCCCAATAATTTCCCTTAGTCCATAAATGGGTTCCCAATTGGCCCACAAAGGCCCATCGCAGCTTAGTCCAATAAGTGGCCCAACAAGCATCCAAACCCAATTAGGGTTTTTCACATAAAATGATGATTAGGGTTAAGTGTTCCTACTTAACCCATAATGGACTTAATCCATTAAGGACTTAATCAATTAAGTCCAAACATACAATGAAATTGGGCTTGAGTCATCACTTCACTCCAATGGTCCAAAATGCGGGTCCCGATAAGTCCAAATCCAAATATCCAATATTAGGGTTTTCTAAACCCTAATTAGGGTTTTCTAAACCCTAATTAGGGTTTCCAACCCAATCATAGCCTAATAGGCCCAAAACTAGATCTTTAAGCCCAATGGGGTTTCCTTAGGCCCATTAGGGTTTTAGTCCCTTTGTCCAAACATCCCAACTAATCAAACACAACAAGCACACCGCCACCCATCACGGCGGCTGGTGGCGGCAGCCACCACCTCACGGTGGCGATTAGGATTTCTTTTCATTATTCCAATTCCTAATTACATTTTACAATGAAATAACCACAAATAAACACATACACTCAAAATAATCACACACAACAACCACCCTTGTGGTGGTCGGCGGTGGCACCTGGTGGTGGTGGCTGTTCCCGAGAGTTCCGTCCAAATAACACCACACTAATAATGGAAACACACCCAAATACACTTCAACTTCACGAGTCATCAAACTCAGCCACCATTTCACGGTGGCATGCGGCGGACGGAGGGCGTCGACGGGATGTAGCAGCCTTCTAAACGACAGTGGTGGCGAATCTTGATCTTCAATGGAACAACATCGGTGGCATCTAGCCGATGTGGAATGGATTCGTAGGTGAAGACAGCTGGGAAGGTACCGCCGGTCGTGGCTGGAACATGGCAACATGAGAACGGAAAGCAGCAACAACCAACAGCGACAAAAGATAGCGGTGGAACCATCGTTGAAGTGGTAGCGACGATGCAACAGGAAACGAGGGAGGTGGCGATGGCTCCTTCATGGTTCGGTTACGTCTCCTGCTTCAGCAACAACGAACGGCGGTGGAGGGGGGGGGGTAATGAGGTTTGCGGCCGCAAATGTGAGAGATAAGGTGGTGGCGGCTGCTTGCTCCTCTTAGGGTTAGGGTTCCCTTAAGGGTTGTATACCCGACACCATAAACACATTGCCATAATGGCAGAATTGGTCCCTCCCCGTCAGCATCTTTGCAAACC